AAAGACGTTCAGAAAACTGAGGAAGTTGATGTCAAATTGACGTAGCCCCTACCAACTTTGAGTTTTGGCGATTCAAGTTAACGTAGTTGCATGAAAGATATAAAACATATTCGAATGGAATGGAAATTGAGAAATCGAATACCTCTGATGGGAATGACATGAATCGGTCATTTTCTGGCAATAGATCTAGAAGGGTGGATGCTACAGCCAGGGCATCTCGTCTTTTTCTTAACAACTCCGGTGTTTGCTCGGCTTGAGTACGCAGAACGAACGCGTATTCATACTGAGCACGTGCCGCTGAAACGGGAAATATCAAATAGTGTAATATATTTCCTCAAAACATCTGGTTGATGTATACTAATATGTTTCCACTCTGAAGAAACGACAAGGAATTCTCAACAGAGGTATTACATACCGCCTTCGAAATCGTTTCTCTTCATGTAGAAAGAGAAGACAAGTTTAAAGAGATGGTGCGGAATCGTTGCTTCCTGAGCGCGTGCGGACGTCAGAAGAGTGCGTTCTACCTTAAGAAAAAGAACCTTCCGAAATGAAAAGAACTAGCACTCGACATTTGGCAACGTGAAAGCTGACTGCTCAATACAACTGCCTAATTGATCTAAATAGGACGAAGGAATCGGTCTTACCTCATCCTCAAGCTTCCCATAATTCAAGTCAACTATCGACTGCCAATCGTTCGCGTGCAACATACGCTTGATAAGCTCACCCAAAGCCATTCGTTTAACTTCTGGATCCTAGAAATATCAAGCGAACCAGTGATGGAAGTTTCCAGGAAAAGACAAGATAAATCGCAAAACAAAAAGAAAACCATGAGCAGTAACCGCAATCAAATCTAAACAGTACTGTATTTTGAATGATGCTCAACAACGCGTCACACCAGTTTCCTTGGTTTATCAGGTGGTTGAAGAGAGTTGCGTAAATTGTGGACTAAAAAATAACAAAGCAGATATAACAAATGAAGTCCAGTACGAAAGCAGAACAAATGGAATAAAATCTGCATGGTACAAACATACAGTGCATTTATGGCCTGGTGGCAACAAAGCTATTGCACTTCGAGCCATTTCAATTACTTCTTCGCTGTGCCGATGATTGTTGAGATATCGTAATGCCTATAAGATCACAAAGCAAACGTTTCGCATTTCAACAATGAGTATAATCATCGCTTACAACGACATAATAATCGCCCAGATTGATTTCCTCAGCCTTTTTTTCGAATGACGACAATGCTAAAAGGAGTGCTTCGTTGCAGTCGGTCACCCCTCGAGCAGCAGCATTGAAAGCGGCCATTGCCTTGACCATAACACATTGTTAGAAAACTAATTCAAGTCGAAATATTTTCAAAATCCTTCATAGCGAGTTTTAAATCAATCTGCATGTACAACCTGCGTAACTTCTCCGAGCGATTGGAAAATTACGAAACAATTTCCCATTGAGACTTTACAGAAACACTGGGTCTATTCGTACCTTCAACGGTTTCCCTAATCCAGAGAAGGCTATGGCCTTGTAAAATGTCACCACCGGACGTAGATTTTCTGACTTGTATGTCTCATATGTGTTACACAATTGCTGAAATATAAAAAATACCAATGCAGCATCAACAGAATTTTCGTGAACAAAATCGAATACTTTTCTTCGAAAAGAATGTTGTCCAAATAAAAATGTGGCGAATCGATTTTAGCAAACTACCCGAATTAAGAAGTATACACTAGCAACAATACTGTTTTTCACGTCCAGTTTTCTATGCCTTTTTTTAATGGCATAGAGGCGTGCTTAAGGTGAACTAGCGCAGTTCTGGCGGTGAGAAAGAAATTGTCGCTTTGTGCAGAAACAAAACAGGTTTATATTAGAACTGCAGCAGGTGTTCGAGCAGATGGACGAATTCCACTCAAAGAAGCAGCAACGATCAGTAATACCGTTTTGGTAATCTCCGAATGATTTTGGAATGCTGCATCCCAAACTTTGACATACCAATTCGAGTTATTCCACTCCCTATTTTTGCTCCATTTCAATGGTACTTAAGGTAACATGATGAAGATCTTCACGCCGTTTGCTAACTATGCTCAACCCTTAGGTTATCAGCTAAAATATAAGCCTACATGTAACCGTAATGGTAAGATCATAAAAATAGTGAGCCGACGAAAGGAAATATGAGATTGCTTTTATAGTCCACGATTTGGCCCGCGAGCGACCGATCGATCGAGCGATTGGGGCAGTGCTTGCTCCTTGTTTACAACTGAATATAGGTCGATACCGCGGGCAAGCGACGCCCCAACTCGATCGATCGGTCGCTCGCGGGCCAAATCGTGGACTATGAAAGCAGCCTGTCATGAAAAGGCCCGTTGAGTTGACAAAACAACAAGGAGTCGCACCCCGTCGTTACATGTAACCGGTAACAGAAACAGAAAGGAATAATTCAGTCTATTCTGCTCTTTCACTAAGCTGATAGATCCTATGAGCATGGAAGTTAACTACTGGTGGATGGGAACCGATATACAGAACAAAAACATTAGCGAAGCAAAATCTATATCATAGAAATATATTCTGGCATACCATCAGAGCTAAATATCTATCATGGTTTGCTAAGCTCCTCGCCAGTAACGCATGAGTTGACTTAGGGGATAGAATTTGTAGTGATGCCTAAAATGTGAGCCAATAAATGCAAAAGTGGGTCGGATTTTTGGAAACATCACCTTGACGACAGAACTCAGAAATTCGTTGAAATGTGGAAGATTACTGTTCTCATCGGGATCTCCAATTTGAGCTGTTTCGCAAACTAAATCAACACCATCGCCGGCCATAAACCAGCTACAAAGTGATGCCTGTGCATTATCCCTAAAATAATACAAAAGGATAATCACGACGCAGCTGTACCACAGATAACCATATGCACAACCTTAAAACTAAAAATAAGAGATCACCTTGACAGCCTCAAGGACAGCTGAGTATTGAAGAGAGAGTAGAGAGAAATGAAACCACTAAACTCGTCTTCAAGGATAGGAAAGTCGAAAAAATGGTAATCAAAACGAGCCTGGAAGGAAGTGAGAATCAGAACCTAAGCACTAAAAACGACTATGAAGCTCAGAAGCAACTAACAGTGCCTGCTTCGTAAAGTTGAATGACAGCTAGTAAATTTTTCGCGATTTTCAATCTTTGGTGGACAACATGGCGTAGCGTTGACGAGATCAACCCACAAACGAAGGATCCATTAAACATGTTGGTAGCTTCCGTGAATGTTGGACCTAGGCATAGAGTTTATGTCATTCACACACGGACTAGAACAGTGAGTGTCTACAGCATGGAAAGGCTAACTTCTAGATGGATCAGTGCAAATAATGTCTTTCAGGAAAATATCCATGATTGAACTCCACTTCTTCGCTATCTGTAATAACAAAAATTATTATAAATTGAAAGGAAAATCATGAAAAACATGACTGAAAATCCGACGGCGATGTCGGAAACTTAATAGCTTGTTTATTTCGGCAAAAAAAAGCAAGATGAGGATGGATTCGCATGGGCAGTTATCCCCTTCGTTCCTGACCACACTTGACCACCCATCCCATTTTTGGGACGCCGCGTCCCTGAGCATACCAACTTACCAGTTCTGCCCGCATTGTCTTACATCTGTGAGCAGGTCCATTTATAACCTCATTCTCATCAGCTACCATGCCATCTTCTTCCTAAAAAAAGGTAAGTGCTCCAAATCTGACTCTGATGAAAATTTTCAAATTTCATTAATTACTTATGCAGCTTGGTTTTGCACATTTCTCTATTTAACACCTCATCGGAAATTCATCATCTTAATTTTTGGCCTGACTGCAGCGCTGCTGTGCCATGCACCCGTTTTGAACGCCTTGCTGGCGTGCCCAACAGATACCACGACGGTTTGACTTAGTAACCCTTCAACAACTCTGTTAGAGGTTTGCACACCCAATTTCAAAAAAGCTTAACGACTGTTGACAGCATACAGGGATAGCAGGAACAAAAAACACACTTTTGCTGCAGCTCTATCTATGGCTACTGTGAGAATCTTCTTCATATCTCCAGAAGTATCTGATTCCATTTCGTCGATCAATTTTGTTTCTCCACTCAGAATCACAGAGAAACGGTCCTGTAAGAGACAGAAATGAAATTTCAGATCAAGACATCAGAAAGGGAGAGGCGAAATCGAATAACATGATAGAAAAGAAGAAACTGAGAAAGAGAAAAGATAAGAAAAAATCGAAGGAACACAAAGAAGAGTATTAGAGCACCTGCTGAATAACTCCAGTTAAAACTGCCCCGGTCATATCGAGGAGAAACAGTCCAAGTGGACCACGGGAAGCGACTTCTAACTGATCACAGGTACGCGCCAAAGACATGAAGAACCTGAACAGAACATAAAGTTTCTTCCTTTTTCTCGAGGAAAAGGTCTTCATTTCAGAATCGAAACGAATTAACTGTAGAATGAAATTGAATAGCATATAACATTGTTGTACAAAACCATATGCACCCATATGCACGAAGTACTCTAGCGAAAAGTGTAAGAAATTCTGGTTTCTGATATTTTTCTTGAAAAACTATCGCTCAGGTGATCTCTAAACCATGAACCTGCGAATATTTCGAAAACTTCGGATTGTTTTCAGTAAAATTATTGAATCGTATGATAAGAAAATTGGAAATAGTGGGTTCACAGCGTATCCCCACTGGCCACTTGGTACAATGTTTGTCAGCTTATCTGGGTTTACTGTTATGCATAATGAATTAAAGATATACCTATGTTCTGCATCACTTTGTGAATCACTCGATGACGATTTTAAAGTCCTACTTCCACGTTGGGTGTAGATGGAATCAAACTGAAGGAGTTTAATTGAATTGTACGCCCTATTACAAGGAAAGAAAAGGTATTTATACCTCAGGTGAGCGTAGATACGAATCAACATGGCTCATTAGAGCAGCCCAGTCTCCATGTTTATATTCACACCGCGTTCCTTTACAGGCAATCTGTAAAAGAAGTTCAGAAATGGTGAGGATGTTCAAACACCATACTGACCTGTACGGATCTTGAAACGATATCAAATGGATGAGAATCCATATTGAATACG